TCCTTAGTCCTGTTTTGATAGGAGCTCATAGTAAAATTCAGGAATCATGAGTGGTTCACACATTTCTTCTTCAATCAATACCGAAATATTACTTGAAAAGTGAATTGTTTACATTTAACAGCAAAATAAACTGCCCAAAAATAGACAATTCATAGCAGATATCAATTTCAGATATAAATTTCATCGGAAAACAGATTAGAACATTATTTTCAACTTTAACTACTTCTTATCAACAACTTTTATAATTTAGATTGATTTAAATAATTTCTGAATAAAAAGTTTTTCAATGTCTCCAAATATTAAAAACATTTAATCTATAAATTTGAAGCTTACGATTGCTTATAGCTGTAAATATCTGTCTCTCTAATAAACAGTGACAGATAATAATGATGAAGTGTATAGGCTAAAAACTGTTTGTGAATTGTTAACTTATAAAAAAATGTTTTTATTTCACACTCGATGTAAAATTTCATCGATGAAAACAATGATTACTTCGTTGACAATGAGTTAGCACGAACAATTTCCATTATTTAGTAATAACTATGGTGAGTTTGTTTCAGTTTACTCAATAAAAATTGACTAATAGGTTCATCTTGAATAAAATATTTCGGAATACCGATATACACTTATTTACTCATGAGGATCTTTATTGTATTCATGTAGAAGCAACCAGTGAATCGTGAATAAACATCTGCTCTGAAATTCCTTATTATCGTCAGGAACTTAAATTCAACCAGCTGAGTCTTCATCACTAGGTATTATTCTCTGAGATATGTCATACTCATTTCTGACTTTGATTGAGTTGTTTACTAAAAACTGACAAACTTTTTTGGATGAACTAATCATTTATTCACTGAGAAAAAAAATTGATATTCTACGTTTGCAAACCAGAAACGTGAAAGTACCACTAGAACGTCTAGTTAACTTAATACTTTCGAGTTTACACGTATTGGTAATCAGTAATGGTCATCACTAATCATCGTACCACGTCATGATATATATTATTCTAAAGCATAGTTATCTTTAAATAGAATCACAAACAAGGAAGATAATGTGAGCATTAAATTAATAGACACGTTAACTGCATAAATTCACTCACAGCAATATACATTGAATAATTTTTACAAAACGTATGCAACTCAAAATCATCAAATCTTGGTCTGATTTTAATTACACTCATTATTCATACACATGATAAACTCCAAAGTGATTTTCACTTTGTTGAATTTTGTCAAAACCATTCTGGATTTTATTCATAATTGTTCCGTTACACACTGATATATTAAACATTATTGCAAATCTTTTCATCGGTGTAGAGCCATATCGAATGATAAACTCTTAAGTCCATCGAATTAAAAACGATTAAACTAAATTATCGATTAGTAAATGATAAAAATTTAACAGTTTGTAGTCATAGACCAAGTCACAATCGAAAAAAAGTTCAATAGTGACACGTTTTACAAAGGTATGTGATAATAGAAAAATAATAATAAATACTTCGCATTTGTTACATTTCAAGTGGAATGACATAACGTGTACATTAACTTATTTCTGATCTGTTTAGTAAACGTAACGAGTTATGAAGTTTTATCCAAATTATAAATGAAATTGAGTATTATTCTAAAAATAGTGAACTCTATTCTAAGCTGATAATGCATAATGATATAGTTTTAAGAATAACAACAATAATGTAAATTAATTTATCACTATTCTTATCATCATTTTAATCATGAAATTTGTGCGGATTATGAAAGAATAAATTTAAACAATGTGAATGTTCATTTGTTGGATGTTAACTCGCTAGTCCAGATTAAACATTTTCTATATAAACCCCTAAAGATCCAGAGTTTTGATCCTTTAAAGGATTATGAATCATCGCTGATGATAAATTGTATTCCGGGAATGAAATAACTATATATTAATCCTTGTTATCTTAACGGCTGTTTATTAAAGTCACTCTCATATATATAAGTTATCATTAAGTAGGTGGCAAGTTTTTCCAGACTAAATTACACCTTAAGTCATAGAAAGTATTCGGTAGTAGTAATAGTTATAAAACTTAATAATCAGAGCTTTAGTAAACCTTGTTATATGCCTATCGGTAGAATCCGAAACCATATCACTATGTTGATAAGATTAACTAATGTTTTCAAATCTTAAAAACCGACTGATTTTCTAAAATGTAAGTCAGTCAGTTGCAACGTAGAACTTCGTACATACGTACATCAGTTCATGTGGTCATACCGCATTAACACATTGACGCAACTGTCAGTTCAAATCCCATAGTAGTAGAGATAGTAGAAGTATCAGCAGTAATGGAAAAGATTAGGGTTTGATGTTATTCAAGAAGTATAATTCAGTGAGATAAATTTAAAAAGAGAAAGATAGAAATGATAAGGAATTCAGAAGGTTAGAATTTCAGAGAACACAAACAGTGGATGCACCTGCGCCATTGCAAATTATTTTAAGTCATGTCGTTCAAGGTCTCTAACCATTGGTGACTTTCGTCTCACTGACCCCAACCAGGTAGCCCACATCTACCAACATAACTCAGTCCACTTGTTTGTGATTTCATGGATTTCTACCATGTTTTGGTTTGGCAGCCCCTAGCTTTCTTCCAACCTACTCGTACACCACAAAACCTAGCTCGTCGAGGCAGTCGGTAGTTGCGCATTCGTAACACCACCAACTGTCTTGCATTTGTTTATTTTGTGATAATAAGTCAATGAACAAGTCTAAAATCTCATATTACAAAGTTCTAATGACAAGAATGTGCAATACATTATTTCTAATTGTAATCAATATTATTCATCTGTGTTACATTATTCTGATGTCAATATTGTTAGAAAGAATTACTGACATATATCAACTATCATACTATTCATTTACACAACTGAATGAATTTTTTTTTCTCCATACTACTTACAAATATGAATATCAATTATTTAGATCATGGAACTGTATTCTATTTTAATTATTTTAAACTTTTCCATCAATGTTTGTCTATGACATTTGTAAGTCAACACTACAACGATTCATTGAATAATCGATATAAATCTTTTTTTTCTAAAAGACATACAGACAGATACAACGCAGAACTTCGTACCTAAGTGCATCAGTTCAGGTTGCCATACCACGTCAGCACAGCAATGGAGAAGATTAGGGAGCAAGGATATGATTCGAAAAGTATAATTCAGTGAGATAAATTTAGAAGGAGAAAGGTAGAGATTATAAGGAACGCAGAAGGTTAGAATTAAAAAGCACACAAACAGTGGATGCACCTGCGCCATTGCAAATTATTTTAAGTCATGTCGTTCAAGGTCTCTAACCATTGGTGACTTTCGTCTCACTGACCCCAACCAGGTAGTCCACATCTACCAACATAACTCAGTCCACTTGTCAGTGATTTCATGGATTTGTGCCATGTTTCGGTCTGGCCGCCCGTAACAGCACACGAGACCAAATTGGTCAAAATCAAATCCTTCTTCTTTTTTTCTAACAGTCAGATGTTATGCTTATTTAGATTTACATCTTGAAATCTCAAATGTTTATCACAGTATTGGGAATGTGTTATTCATGGAAATACAATTGTATTACGAAAATCGGTCATCTAACGATCAATGAATTCTTATTCGCTGTAATTATAATTCATGGAAATCGTTGACAACAACATTCTGATATCTTTCAATGTTGTCCGTCTGAGCGTTTAATGAGACTGATCGTTCGTTTATCGATTTTCCTGAAGGTTATTTTTTAACTAGTATGACAGTGTCTAACTACAATGGAAAACAGTTAAACATTTCATATTCTTAAAAAAATATATACATATAGGATGTGTTTAGTGCGATCGATATAAATTACAATCACATAGATATCAACTTTTTTTTGACACATTCAACATACTGATATAATTTCCATACAATTTATATGCTAGATATCTAGTGTTCATTAGAATTTGATAAGGAAAACAAATGTTCCAACTAATTGTTGACGTGTTGATCAAGTTTCACGTGCCTAATTGATTAGGATTTTACATGGCTGTTTACAAATAATAGAGAAAAGAGAGCGAAATTGTCAGGAAAACACTATGGTTTTCAAATGATTATTCAGTCGAGTGATTAGTTTGAAAAAATCAAAAATTAGGCTGTTCTTTTTATATGCTTTAAAATGTTGAAAACATCTGTGTTTTTTTCATTTTTTTTTGATGATCAGTTTGATAAATTTAAATGTTTAATCTTTGTCAAGGCCTATTTTGTGAATGCTTATTCTATGTATTTTCATGTCAGCCTTTTTAGATGAAAGGAGAAAACATTAACATGCCTTGGTAGTCTGTCTAATCACATACTGATCGTAAGAAATCTTAGTGGAAAAAAATGAAGGCTTGGTGGCCAAATATATTTTTGATACACAGCTTGTAAATCGATTGAGGAAGGCGACAATTGATAACTTTTTTCCAGGGTGTTTATACCGGACATACATATATATTGGAATTACTTAAAACATTGGTCTATATACAGATAGAATGTCTAATTTTATGTCCGTTTATCACTACATGTCTAGCCGTCTAATACGTTTTCACTTCACATTAGCGCCTGTCTGTACAAGTAAGCAAATTTTTAAGACACACTTGGTGCAAACTGTGACTGTGTCCTACTAAATGTGCATAGAGAGAGAATAAGCATGAAAACAGATAGTGAACAAGAGGGAGGGTGAGAGAGAGAGAGCAAAAAAAACCGAACAATCAATGGACAGGCAGGAATGTTATTCCCCAAGACACACATGTTCATACAAATTAGTATTAATTACTTCACCTAAAACGTAGTTTTTTGAACCAGTAACATTAACAATCTGTGCAGAAGCAAAAAGCCATAGAAGACTTATTTTCAACAGGCCTTTCGTGGATTATTCTGCAGAAATTTCGTGAATTTTCTTACAAAACTCAATTTGGCATACATTTTATTATTTGAATTCATAAAAACACTTTATATTTCGTTTTCTCTAAAAAGACTAACTATATAACCAGTTAACATTCAAACAGAAACAAAGCAATTATTAAAATATTGTTATTGCTTTCCTATGAATATATTATTCCCTTATTCTATACCAATTCCATTGCTATCAAATTTTTATGATCATATCATGTCCCAACAGAATGTTAACAATACATCATCACCATGTTCATCTACATCTTCAGCATGTTCACCATCATCATCATCATCTGCATCTGCATCTGCATCTGCATCAATTCTGTCGGCTACTTCATCAACTTCACCACGTTCATATAATTTAGCTGTGGAAATGTTACGTAAATTAGCTGCACAACAATATGATCAACAATCATTCGCTTATGATAATGAAAATTCATTCAACAATAAAATATCACCATCAAATTTACAAAATTTATCACTTTATTTATTAAATATGACCAATTCAACATTGAATTCCATGAATAATAATAATAATAATATTAATAATAATAACGATTATTCAAATCCTATTCACTCTACATTAAATAATGAATGGAATAAAAGTACTGATAAATTGCCTACTACATGTCGTCAATCTAGAACTATCATGAATACAATGGATGATTTAGCTTATATATCACAAGATAATAATGATATGTTAAATTCATATGAAAAATTACCTACATGGTCTAATACACTTCCGAATATAACACCAAATGCTATTACAGCATTTCAGCATGCATTAACTCAACTAGCACTGCTTGGTTTATCATCATCTTCTGCTTCGTCTTCTCCTTCTTCTTCTTCTTCAACAACAACAACCACAACAACTACACCTATAACATCAGTCACTAATACAAATCGACTAGATTCATGCAACTTCAATGAAACTAATCATTCAGTGTTGAATTTATCGAATGTTGAACCGTTGCATGGTAAAACAATAAACAATCATTATTGTAAAAATCATAACTGTGATATACCATTATCCATATCGAATCAACCAACTATGTAAGTAGTAGGTTATTTTTTTCTCTAAAAAATTAATAAATTAAAAAAAAATTATTCATTATATGTTTGATAGATTTTATTGACATGATTGTGAGTGTTTTTGATAAATTAAGGGCTAATAAAAGATGTTTGGTCCTAGTACAGTACTATGCATCTCACTTCATTCCTTGATCTCACAAGAAACAAGTCCATGACATTAGAGTGTGATGAAAAGCTGCTAACCTCTTTAAGTTAATGACTTTAAAAACCGATCGGTTCACCTCAAAATTAATTGCCCAAAGTTAACACGCACATTTTGATTTAATAAAAATCATTCAAATTATTCTATTTAAACATAGGAAGTAACACAGTTTTATATATTTAGACAATAGATTGTATCTGGAATTATTTTTTTCATTTTCTGTTATACACTGACTAGTTATGTAATCGTCAGCGTCAGTGTAGAAATAATTTCATTAATTTTTTAAGTCTTCTGAAATTTGTAAATTACTGATCAAACTTTGCGATTCGTGCATAGAAATATATTTAACATGCAGATAAAAACATTTAAAAGACACCTCTAATTTATACTTATAGATGATTTTCAACTATTTAACATCGTTTACATTCACGCTTAATGCGGCTTCACTTAAAACACTATGATATGTGTTTCACAACTACAAGTCGTATTTAAGTGTTAACAATCAGCCTGTGAATTTTCCATTGGCTTCATGAACTTTAATCGATAGACTTTGGTAGTATTACACTGTCTTAAACAATTTCAGTACATAAATCTTTCCTTGGTGAATAAAATTACATTATTTATCATTGACATGATTGTTTAAACTGCTTATTTCACAAATTGAAATAATTCAACCGATTTGAAAATTTTGAATTGGCCAGTGACAGATTGAGAATTTATTATTCTTCCAGTTTCTGGGTTTTTTTTTAATAAAATGATTTAAGGCAATCAATAGTAATAAATAGTTATTAGTTGCTAGATTTTGAAAATTATCTTTGTATAGTAAGTTGGAATAATGCATTTGAATTATTTTCTCCTGTTTCAATTGAATTTCTCTTTATCAATACAAATTACAAACTTATTTTAAAATGATGATAACAATGAAAGAAAGTTAAAATTTAGTTATACAAATTTTTAAAAAAAATTATTATGAAATCATACACTGAAAATGAAGAATTGAGCATTTTGTTTAAGTCAGTAGAAATGTAATGGTTCATGGTGATCAGCATTGAAAGTATATTTTTTTTAAATTGACATTATCTAACTGATTCTAACTCCATTGAATTGACTGTGTGTTTTTTATACCGATTCGTAGTTTGACTGATCGTAATAACAAAATTACTATTAGCTTTATGCAATAATACATGATTACTACAGAAGAACACTGCGCTTCACTCACTGCACAGTCACATTATTCAATCACTAGTTTGAAAAAAAATTACCAACTCACTCAACATAAATTTAATAGAAAATTAATTTTGACAAACTTACACTTCAACAAATAAGTACATCAACTTTTATTCACTAAGCGAGAATAAAATAATTTTTTTTTAAAAAAAAAATCAGTGAATAGTTAGTTCTAAGCACTTGCATTATGTTCATATTCTTTTTATGTCAGCAAATTGAAGAAGACATCGTTCTATTGATTACTTTTAAAAACTTTTGAAAAAAAGAAAATCTCATCTCTGTCACAGTTATGTACATATAGCGTGCAAATATTTTTTTTTAAAAAATAATGAAATATATTCAATAATTAACAATCGTTTACTTTTTTTATGATATATCTATTTAATTATATATATATATATCTTTGCCTATGACATCCACCATATATATATACACACACAAACACATCTGGTCATCACTGCATTGAACATTTTACGGTGAATGTCGGTTCAAACAAACAAAAAAAACAAAGAAATAGCATGATTTGAAAATCTATTCTTTTTCTTTTTCTCTCGATCATTTAATGCCTTACATGCATAACATCTGTCTATTCACTAGTCTATCCTATTCACTCTATTTTATTTATTCTGTATACCGCTGATTGTTATCAGTACAATTGGAATATGTCAAACTCAAATAAATATAAGTCACCTTTTCATCCAATAATGTGACCTTTATATATACATTATATATTATATATATATATATATATATACTAAACAGGAAATGACAAGAAATTCTTTTGATAAATAAATTATTTTTGATATGATAAAATATTTTCATTTAGTAAGGTTGTTTCATTATTTTATATATAGATATAAGTTCATTCATTATGTACAGTAATATGTGAAATTTTAAATAGGCATATTTAAATTCAACCTCATAGCGTGGGGGTTACCAAGACAACATATTTGTACAGATAACATTTGAAATGCTCGTTCATTAATTCAATCATAATTGACTGCATCAAGAATGAGTTGATTTTCTTGGATTAACAAAACAACTTATACTCCATTATCATAAGTATGAATAAAAATACTATTATGTGTGTGCTTGGATGACAAATCGTTTCATCAAAAAAATCCTTTTATTTATGCATGAAAGCAATGAATTATCCAATTGAGTCAGTCAGGTTGATTAGTTTACATTTAATGATGTTCAGTTTTTGTGCATTGGTGTAAGTTTCTACAGTCTAGTCACCAGATTACAAGTATGAAATTGTTTGTACGGCATTCTAATTTTAAACTTGTTTAGTTCAAATATTAATCTTACATAATATTTGTCTGTGAGTCAAATACATCAAGTCACAATTGGTTACAGAGCTGAATTTTTAGTTGAGAAGATATGTTAGACTTTTTGATCGTAAAAATACATAACAAATTATAAACCATCTAAGTTATTCATTTTCATTAAAAATGATTGCCATTAGGTTACAGTACGACTTTAAAATGTATGATAAACTAGTTTAAATGTATAAACAGCTAGTAGTTAGACTGGTACTAGACTTCGTGTAAGTCGGTATTTATCACGGTGTATCTGGAATCTTAACTAAACTAATATACTCAATGTGATTTGAATAATTTAGAATTTTTTTGAGAATCTAAAACATTGTTTACACAAGAGATTAATATGAAGTGAGTATTCAGTCAGTTAGCGAGTTAGTAACACTTATAATTTAAGTTTTCACTTGATGAAATCAGATCAGTTATTTCAAAGATTATGCTTAGCTTGTAAATCTAGGTTTTTTTTTTAAAATTTTATTAGTGGAATTTGTTATCGATATTATACATTACTCAGTGGTTCATACAATCAAGACACGTGTTTGAACTCTCCTCTCTACCTAGTTGAGTTTCAAAATAGTATTTCTAGCTGTCACTCAAGCTTAGACTGTAATACGAAGCTATGTACACAAATGTGTACCCAGTAAATTAATTAATATTTGGCTTGCAGAACAAAAATTTCAGTTCATCAACTTGATTTTTATAATTTTCATTGAAGCAGATTATAAGAATCATTGCATACTTTGAAGTACAAATAAATTGTAATAAAGCTTTTTGTATTGACAACAGTTCTAGAACAGAAATTAACTTATCATATGAAGAATGTGACGTGAACTATGCAAACACAGTGAAATTTGATAAACGTAGACCTCTGATTGAACATTTAGAAAAATGTTCGCCTGTATGGAAATTTCCAGCATTTCGTGTTTTTAAATCCTTAAATTATCACAAATAATATTGACAATACTAATAATACTAATAATAATGTCACGCATTAAAAAAGTGATGATTATATTTTCATTATAGAGCTGTGGAGATTGTTGAGTTACATTGAATTGATGGATAGGTTATTGTTAGATGTGCCTACTAGTGAGGGAATTCTCACAGTTCTGGTGAAAAGTCGTGACCAGTGCATTTCAACTACAGTAAACATAGTGAATGATAGTCACACAATATCTTGGATCGACTTGAGTTAGACGTTGACACTGTTGAAAGCCAGTTCAGTGGTCGATAGGTTAAGAGTATGCGCGTGAGATCGAAGGTGCTGGGTTCGATTCTCGCGTGAAGAGATTGTTAATACACACTGCTAACAAGTGCCATACTAGGACGAGACAGCGGTTCAGTGTTTCCAGATTTCCAATGGTGAAGCAACAATGACTAATTCATAGTTTCAGTGATAATTAGATTACAACGAAACTGATAACGATGAAGAAGATTTAGAGTTCAAGTGGTGTTGTTGAGGTAGGTAGTTTAGTTGTGTAGCTATTGAAACATTGTGAAAACCAGTCGAAAACAAAGCTTTCCGAATTAAGTGACTGAATACTTTTAAGAAAACTATGAATCTCACTTCTATCCTTAAAGTGGTAATGATGACGTTTTCCAGAATGTACAATAAACATTCGGCCTTTAACTCATCGACCTCATGAGACTCAGTAAGACGAAAAGAACTGATCAATTAATAATATTCCTCAAGAACTAATCTCATTCAGAATACCACTAAAAATCCAGGATAACTATTTGACTGCTCCCCGTAACATCCAATCCCATGAAAGTACTTACACACGACCTTAACATGGGTTGAAATGCAGATCTGCAAGTACATAACAGTCAGACCAGTGACTTTGCTTTCACTTGTCACATTCACTTGGTTGAAATAGCTCTTTAATATCCACTGTTGATAAAGTTACGTCAACCTTCTGTCTTTCCTATATCATGTCAATAAATCAGGTTCAAAAAGCTCCTGAGAAGTTTTACTTGGATTTCTTTGCTAATATAATATGCTTTCTTATAAATGATTCATAAAATTTAGTCAAACGTTTATCATTTCATTCAAAAACGAACTATTACACTTCCTTATTCACATGTTTTTATAAAAAAAGAAAAAATTACAATATACACTAGGCTTAACCGATTGATTTGTTACATTCATACTTATTGATTACCGATATTTTCGATGGTGGAAAAAAAGAAACCCAGAAAGGATAAAAATGGATGCACAAATGTTTATATTTATTTCTATATAGTTCACTAGGCGTCTTACATAAATTTGATAC